TGATTAGAAGGAATCACGTGCACTAGCTAGCTAATAGGTTTACTTATTAAGTTAAAAGTCCTTTGACTGCTGACATGCTAAGCAAAGCATGCCAAGTAGCCCGTGAACCTTAGTTCACGGGTGAACTTCCCAACTATTACTATTACTACTACTACTACTAGCTAAGGTCGATATAAATATACCGACAAAAAGTAAATAATAAGTTTTATTATCTACTTCGATAAAGATCAAGTTTAATTGGTTTGCAATCTTTAATAAATTAATAACTTGATTAATATATAAATAATAAAACGGCATTTATTAAGCTGCTCTATAAGGTGAGGGCCTTATAGGGTTTTCTTTTTTATTCCTTTTATAAGGTCTTAGCCGATAAGAGACTTTTTTTTTTAAACTTTATAAAGAGGATTTTTTTAAGTCAAATTCTTTACGAAGGATAAAGAAACCTTATAAGTTTAAAGTAAGATAGCTAAAAATAATATATATAAAGCCGTTAAAAATAAAACAAATTTACGAATATTTATTAATTTTACTTAATCATTATATTTATTTATTATATTTATTAATCATATATGTTATACTTTGCAATTACATTGCATTACATTATAATAAATTAAAATTACTAAACAAAACTTTTAATTATGATTTCTCGCAATTTCTTAACTAACGCTATATCTTTGTTTTAAATCGTTACTCGTTTAACGTAAATAGCATATAAGTTCGTTACTAAAAGTGATTAGTAAATCGATTAGTAAATCGATTAGTAAATCGATTAATAAATAAATATATAAGTATTTACTTTCAAATTCTTTTACGAAGAATGCTTTTAAAGCTTCTTATAAACATTTTAAAGCACCGCTTTGAAATTTAAAGTCTTGTTTAAAATCGTAAGTGATCTTTCGAATAAGACGTTAAAAAAAAGTCTTTTTAATAAGAAGCTCGATGCTTTTTTAATATCGTCGGATCTCTCTTAACGCAATAGCTATATAAATTAGTAATTGTATTTAAAAATCAATTTATTAATTAATTGAACTTATTTCTTAGCTTGTAGCGACGGCGCTTTCGTTAGCTTAGACTTCTTTTTTTCGCAACAATTGCAAACTTCTTAAGATACTTGCTTTTTTTAGATTTTTAACGAAAAGAAGTTTTAACTATCGAAAATGATTTGCTAGTTAATAAAACGGAACGAGCAGCTCTAGCCGTCGAGAGTGATTTTTTAGCTCTTTTGTATTAAGAAAAAAGAATATTATTTTCAATTGAGTTTTCTTTATTATCGCTTTGCTCTTTTTCATCTGTATTACTATAAAGCATCGTCTTCGTCGCGGTTTTTATAGCTATAGTTAAGCTCGAGACAGTAAGAGACTTTTTAAAAGCTTTTTGCGCGAAAGCTTTTTTAGTGCGATTGCTAATAAAAGCAAAAGAAAGTTTAGCAGCTGCAAAAAAATTATTTTTAGCATTTAAGTCGTAAAACGGATCTTCGTTTTAAAGTTAAGCTAATGCACTCGCTTAGCTCGTCGATTGTTATATTGCTTTTAAAGCAGTTTTAAAACAATTAGCGAACGAAAGAAAAAAGTTTAAAAAGATTAAACTTATTAAAAGCTATTAGTACTTATGCTAGTATTATTAAGAACGATGCTTTTATTTATTTCGGATTAAATAGCTAGAGTAAATCTAATTGCGTTTACTAAAGAAAAATTTAATTAA